AGAGAAGCAGGTTGCCCTACAGGGGACTCCATCCCAGGACCCATGAGATCATGACCTGAGTCGAAGGCAGGCACTTAACCAACTGAGTCCCCAGGTACCCCCCCCTCAAATGTCCTGGATTTGAGTGACTTGATTGGAAGCAAGAAGCCTGCCGTGTCTCTAAATGTAGGATGACTTCATCCCGCAGCCAAATGTTTACCTCCCCAGCCCACCCAACTCCATGTGTCATTTTGTTGTACATAGGGGATTTGAAAGGCCACAGAGGAAGAGTCACCCTAATAAATAAAAAACGGAAGGGGAGGTTAGAATCAAGGACCACTTTACCTGAAGTTGTATATTTCTTTTTAGCCTGAGGAGTAGATAGTTCTACATGTTAACTCACTCCAATCATCTTGTGTTTAGCATCATTAGTGAGTTAGAAGCACTAAGGTAATATTACTCCTGCTAATGTTAAGAAATGACATTTACTGAGTCCTTAATATATGCCAGACAATAACCTAGAAAAGAATAAGCCACTCAAACTTCAATTTGTAGAAGATTTTTTCTTATCCTTATACTGTTGTGTTGCATTCTTGAAGCGTATTTTTCATACTCATTGTTGAACTGAACCTTTTGTTATTGCGCCAAGCCTGTAAACTCAACACATGTAGAGTGTCTCCATTAAGAACCCCGTCCAATACTTGGCCCATATTTATTATACTAACCAGAGCAGAACTATGCAGGTACAACCACACAAAGAAAACATACTACTTAGATATTTTCTTTTTATATTGACCTTTCTGCTTCTTCTCATTGCTGTGTTTTCTTTTCTTTTCTTTTTTTTTAAAAGATTTATTTATTTATTTGAGAGAGAGAGAGAGAGCATGCGAGTGCAAGTGGAAGGAAGGGCAGAGCAAGAGAATCTCAAGCAGAGTCCACGCTGAGCATGGAGCCCTACACAGGGCTCAATCTTACCACCCTGAGATCATGACCTGAGCCGAAATTAAGAGCCTGACGCTTAACTGACTGAGCCACCCAGGTGCCCTGCCATTTTATTATCTATCAGAGTTTCAACATCCTCTAGGTCAGGTGCTTCTAGGAAGTCAGGCTTGATCAGTCATGATCTTCCTGCTACCTCATCTATAGGAACTCAGTCTATCAATATGTCTGCCAGTGTGTTTTAATTGGCTTTGGGATGCTTTACCAAACTTATTTTAGCTTATTTGCTATTTCATTTAAAAAATACTTTGACCTGGGGCACCTGGGTGGCTCAGTCGTTAAGCGTCTGCCTTTGGCTCAGGTCATGATCCCAGGGTCCTGGGATCCAGCCCTGAATCGGGCTCCCTGCTTGGCGGGAAGCCTGCTTCTCCCTCTCCCACTCCCCCTGCTTGTGTTCCCTCTCTCACTGTGTCTCTCTCTTTCAAATAAATAAAATCTTTAAAAAAAAATACTTTGACCTAGAGAACTAAGTTTAATAAGAACTTAGGCATTTATTGTTTTTTTTTTTTTTTTTTTAAAGATTTTATTTATTTATTTACTTGAGAGAGAGAGAGAAACAGCGTGAGAGGGGATAGGGTCAGAGGGAGAAGCAGGCTCTCCGCCGAGCCGGGAGCCCGATGTGGGACTCGATCCCAGGACTCTGGGATCATGACCTGAGCCGAAGGCAGTGGCTTAACCAACTGAGCCACCCAGGCGCCCCTAGGCATTTATTGTGATGCCTTTTGGGATATGTTCAATAAATACTTGATACTTACAATGTCGATAATGATGACAATTTGTTAGGTGATATAAATGTCAAGCAGCTGGGAAAACATAAATTTGGCCCTAATAGAGGAGCACAAACACAGGTACTAATTTTAAGCCTACAAACACAGCTTAATTAACTAAAAAACCGGGCCCCTATGCTCACTCTCCCAGTTTTTGTCAGTCTAGTCACAAACTTAAAGTAGGCGGTTCCTTGGGATTAGGAAAAAGACAGTTTTTGCTTAACTGCTCATGATATCTGGTCAGTACTAGAGCTTTTGGGGATTCAGGGCATTTGGAAGAAGCCCTGCAACAACTAGTCAATCGGCTCAGGAGAAGATGGTTAAAGAGGCTACCGCAGAGAGCAAGCATGGAAGGCTGGAGATCCAGTTAGAAGAACACAGAAACCCCATTACTCTTTCTTTCATGGAATACTAGGAGCGATCAAATGATCCTTTAATTATGGGTTTAATCATCAACAAAGGTCCATTTAGCTGGGAAAAATAAGTAAATTCTTTCCAGCTTGCAGGCTTCAGGAAATAGCTTCCAACCCTTCATAGCTCTTTGCCTAGAAGGTTGCCCAACTTCTACCTTCAGCTACATGCCTCAGTTTCCCCTACTGTCTCCCACAGCCTCTTTCCTTCTGCTGCACTTCCTTTTCAGATTTTAAAAAAGAAAATACAATTAAATACTATGTTTCAAGATAATTGATCTAATTAAATGCGTGATTCACTTTTTCTTTAGAAAGTATGCAAGTACTGTTTAATACATATGGTGCTTCTAATAATCTACATAAATATTTAATTATTAGATCTTAGATAACTTATGCCTCATCACAGCACTCTTGCAGTGGATAAATCAGATTCTACTCATGATTTTTTTAAAAATTCATTTTTTTAAGTCAGCTCTACACCCAACGTGGGGCTTGAACTCACTACCCTAAAATCAATAGTCACATGCTATACTGACTGAGCCAGCCGGGCACCCCTCTACTCATAAGTTTTAACTCACACATTTCTTTCAGAAGCATTCCATAATTTTTTGCATCATCTATACCATATACATTTATATATTGCCAGGAAGCTAAATAAACTTGCAAAGCGTATCAACAGAATAACAATATTTAGGCACTTACATATTGTAAACCTTTAAACAATTCACCATAGAGATTTATATGTATGCCTTATAGGTAGGAATATGAGACAGTTGAGTTAGTACATAAAGTTTTTATTTAAAGTTTTCCCCTTCCAAGCAAGCTTCATTTACACATTCTAATACTGTACAAAATTTACAATCTCTGTGACTTATGTACTCACTTTTCACTTCTAATAGTTTATGCCTTTCTGAAATACAGAAAGCTTTATTTATAGTTCTCATAAATGCTCTTATTTATTTTGCCTAGAAATAAAAAATAAATGAAGAACAAGTCTAAGGAAAGTGAATATCCTAGTATAAACTGTGACTTTCAGAAGAAATGGTAGCAGTTGACGATCAAAGTTTCTGAAGCCGACCTTGTTCTCTTCAGGACGCCAGCTAGGCTCTTCCCCGCAAAGTACTGTAACTTTTCTTTCCTTCTCTATATCGTATGTTTTCAAGGAAAAAGAAATGAAAGTTGATTGCACTGGAGATATATATATATATATATACTTATATATATATTTTTACAACGGATCCTTTGGATCTGAACATACAAATAAATACAAAAACAACAAAGATTGCACTTTACTGTAGAAACAGCATTAGATTCCAGTACACTCATCTATCTTGACATGCTCCACGGTGAAAGCTTATCACCAAGGCATTTTTACACTTGATCTTAGCCAAAAGGCCGAGAAGCGATCACCAAGGCATTTTTAATCTGTGGCTTCCCCACGTCGTTGTTTTGAATGACACCTTTGTTGAGGGATTCAATACACCTCTGGGTGATTGAAAAATATTTTAGGCTAGTATTTACTCCTAACTGTTGTTGTTCCAGCTCTGAAGGGCTTGAACATCAAATTCATGTTCCTTCCCGTTTTGCTTTGTTGACTGGCCGCACCGAAAACTATCTCATGCTCTCCTGACCTTCTGCTCCTAAATTCCTCATGCTCCTAAAGACAACTAGCAATTGCTCACCTAACTGAGTTCAGGCATCTTTGGTGATAACAAACAAATATGATGAGTTGGAGAATAATCAGGGTGAGTGATGTGCTTTTCTAGAGCCAAATCTGGAGCCATTTCTAGAGCCAGAGGTGAGGAAGAGGGAGAAATATTTGTTAAGAGCTATGATTCACTCCTGTGGCTCTTTCAAGTTGTGTGTCTTAGGGACAGAGAGACAACTGGGATTGTACTTAAAAGAAATTATTCTTTCTTTTCATCCCTGAATTCCTAAAAGCAATCTCCCAGTTTCATTATGGGTTAAGTTTGGGTCAGATGTGTTATTCAATAGAATCTCTTCAATATTGTACGAGTGACTTTGTCAGTCCTACCTTTTGAAGGAAATGACAGGTGTGTTCACTACTTTTTTATATACTGTAGAAAATGAGAAAACATGAGCCTCTGTGGAATGAAGAGTTACATAATACATTTTGTTTTAATCTTTCATATAAAATTGAGGACACAGATTATGACTGGCTGGCCTAGAACCTACAGGGCAGAAAGCAATTGCTACAAGAACCAACATCTTTCTCTGATCCCATGAGGTGCTGTAAGGGTCAGAATGTAAATGAAATGCAGATCTATAAAAACAAACATGTTCCTCTTTAATCTTATATGATTTTCTACAACTGTGTTGCCTATGGAGTCTGTGAAGTAGCCACAGGTTAGGAATATAGAGTCAAGTGGCAATTTCTGTGATGCAGTAAGTATTTTAGTGGGTCAAATTCTGAATCATTCATGAACACAATATCCCCAAAACTTCAACATAGATCACATGCAGGTAGACTACAATGCACAATACTGATCTTAGGTCTCTCTGGGGGCACTCTTCTATATTTTATCTTTCTCCTTTTGAAAGTTAAAATCCACGTGAGGGCTTTTCGTAAAGCTGGGGCAAGTTAAAACCAGTCTGAAATGGAAGAGTCTGTCACCACCGCGTGTTTGCTGTGATCCGAGTTACAGACATGGTATCTGTTCAAGAACAGGTCTTTTTCTTTTGTAGTTACTTGGAAATATCGTTAGAAACCAAGGGTGGGTTTCGGCAGTTGTACCATTAGAATGCACTGTTCCTAGCATAATAGAGATGTCACCTGTCACTGTCTCCAAGAATGTGATACTGTTCATTCCAGGGCTTGCTGGTGTTATTTGTTGTAAGGTACGCAGGCGGGCAGGATAACCGTTGCACAGGCTGGGCCTGCCAGAGGTTCCGCTACATCTCCTTCCAATTCTGTCCAGGTGCCTTTTTCCGGACAGTAGCATATTGTAGATGACTTGTAGGCCCCCTGTAATGGCAGAGCAGGGGGCATTTAGGGAAGAATGCTCAGAGAAGTGCAACGACCATCTTATCGGTCACATTTACATTGGAAAGAAAACATCAATTCTCTGCTCTTGCTAAAAAGTTCCAAATGAAAGCAGTGGATTTTAAACTGTTTTATTCGAAAGGAAAATTTGAGAGTCACAAGATTTCAAAATCTATGTGTGTGTAATTAATAATAAAAGTCAAGTGCCTGCAACACCTAGATGATCAACAAATCCTTCAAAATAATTGACCAAAAATTGGAATTTGTCCAGCTGGTTTAAGTTAAAAAACTCACCTTCAATTTTCAAATAATTTCAGTAAATTGGATTTGAGATTGTTGCCTCACTTTTCCATTCTTATTTTACTACCCTAGAGAATCAGAGCTGGCATCCAAAACTAGCTTGAAGTAAACTGGAAAAGTGGGCTTGCCAACTTCTTTGTACATTGATTGATTGATTGATCGATCGATTGATTTTCAAGTGGCCACATGAGAAATAAAAAATGTCTTTAATCTTGTTTCCTTTGTTAACATCTAGCGGTAGTGCTTGTGTAAATTTCCCTTCTAAAACCAGAGCTGTTTGGTTTTTATATCATAGGCAAAACCCCCAAATTCCAACCAACCTAGTCATCAGTTTTTGAATGTGTGCTGCTGGTGTCTGGTTCCAAATGCGTATGCTTTTGCAGCTCGTCATGTGCACCAGCGAACAAGCACAGATCTGAGTATCTAGTTACGTATATATCGATCTATATTTGCCTCCATACAACTAAGATCCATTGAAAACTCCCCCCAAACTATGTAACAACCTTGTCTGATGCAAAACAAATAAACCCCCAATTAGTCTTTTTTTTTTTTTAAAGATTTTATTTATTTGACAGAGAGAGAGAGAGACAGCGAGAGAGGGAACACGAGCAGGGGGAGTGGGAGAGGGAGAAGCAGGCTTCCCGCAGAGCAGGGAGCCCAGTGCAATGCGGGGCTCGATCCCAGGACCCTGAGACCATGACCTGAGCCGAAGGCAGAAACTCAATGAATGAGCCACCCAGGCACCCAACCTCCAGTTAGTCTTAGAAAACCAACCCATAACTAAGAAAATATAAAGACAGTCATCATTTAAAAAATGAATATGTTGACCACACAGCGTGTGTGGCTCCTAATGTGATATAATTCCAACTATATGGCCACCTCCTCAGGTGTTCCTGACAAAAGAGAAAAGAAAAGGAAACAAAAGAAATTTTATTTTTTTTAATTTTTTTTTTTTTTTAAGATTTTATTTATTTATTTGACAGAGAGAGAGACAGCGAAAGAGGGAATACAAGAAGGGGGAGTGGGAGAGGGAGAAGCAGGCTTCCCGCCGAGCAGGGAGCCCGATGCGGGGCTCGATCCCAGGACCCCGGGATCATGACCTGAGCCGAAGGCAGACGCTTAACGACTGAGCCACCCAGGTGCCCCACAAAAGAAATTTTAAAGAGAAAAAAGCTGAGCTTAATTATTAAGTCCTTATGCCTAACTTTCCGTCTTATAGGAAATACAGAGACAGAGACTGTTTTAAATGACATCGCAAGGTCATCATTTGCCCATTCCAAAATGCCAGCTATTCTCTACGATAACTGACCCTGTTTTTTTTTGTTTGTTTGTTTGTTTGTTTCTTGTTTTTTTTCTACAAGTTAATGGTATGGAAGAAGTGGAGTGGGGTAATTTTCCGGATTGCAAGAGATGGATGAGATACAATAACCCAATACAAGTGAGACTGTTGGATCCTGACTTGAACATATCAACTTGAAATATACATTTCAATAGGAAACATTTGAATATAGATTAGATATTAAGGAATTATTGTTAATTTTGTTGGGTGTGATGATGGTATGTTTACATAAGCAAATAATTTTTTTAATTTTTTTAAAGATAAATACTGAAGCATTTAGGGTGAAATAATATGATGTCTAGAATTTGCTTCAGATTTCTTCAGCCAAAATTTTTAAAAGGAAGGACAGATAAAGTATCACAAAATCTTGATGGATGTTAAAGCTGGATGCTGGGTTAACGAGAGTCCACTGTACTCTAGCTTTTTGTGTGAGCTTGGAAATTTTTGTGATAAAGATGGGGCAAAGTGAAAAGCAATGGCAAATTATCCTAAAGAGAATTTGTAGATATTTAACAATTTCTAGTTTTCATGCCTTCCTGGTCAGAAACTTTTCGGACAATTCAAACAATTCAACAAACTATGTAAACAATTTCAAAAGTACATTTTAGAAACCACTCAGTCTCATTTTTAGTTGGAAAGCCAGAATCACAAAGGCATGGGGATAGGAGAGAAGCGGAGACCAGCCACATTTGGGGATACAGTTGATCAGAGAGCAAGCCAGCTCGACAGCAAACATGCTGATTCTTTTTTATTACTTAAAGTAACTTACTGTTTGCATACAAGCATGATACTCTTAAACTTTTTTTTTTAGATTTAATTAAATTAATTTATTTATTTGAGAGAGCGAGTGAGAGAGCACAAGCACAGCGGGGAGCAGCGGAGGGAGAGGGAGAAGCAGGCTCCCCGCCGAGCAGGGACCCCGACGTGGGGCTCGATCCCAGGACCCCGAGATCACGACCCAAGCTAAAGGCAGGTGCTTAACCGACTGAGCCACCCAGGCGCCCCCAAACATGATACTCTAAAAAGGTTTTTGTGTGGATGGTAACACACATGGAGGGAAACATAAAGTAAGAACAAAACAGAAAGGAGGAGGGTGAGGTAAATGTGGACACATACCATACTCCAGCTGTAGCCTCCCACAAGGTAAATGCTATCATCGAGCACTGCACAGCCAGGACCACTTCGACCCTCCAAAATGGGAGTTTGGAGAATATTCCATTGGTCACCTTTTGGGTCATAGCATTCCACGAGCATTACGTCAAGGTGGGAGAAACCTAAGTGACATAGCAAAATGGAACCACGTAAGAATAAACTCTCAGTGTCCTGATTCAAGGCTAGGCCTTCTTTTTTAAAAAGCTCTAGATCCAAGAAATAGATAATTTTGTCTCTAAAGGGACAAAAGTATAAATTTACTGGTGAAATTGGGAAACATGTTACAGGGATAGTTATGCCATTATGTTCATTTTACAGATGAGAAAACTGAGGGACAGAGAGAGGCAATGACTTGAATAAGGCATGCAGCCAGCAAGTAGACAGGTTGAAGTTTAAACTCAGGCAAACAGGCTTCGGAGCTCATATTCTTACAGACTAAACGGGATCATTTTTCCTAAATGAATATTTAACTCTCTCAAAATGTTTTAATTAACTAAAAACATGGTGTTCAGCATCTTTTACCTTTTTAACTATTTATGTTTATAAACAACTATGATGACGTGAGTGGTTTCCAATATCTACTAAGGATCAAGGTAGAGTAGGGGGCTAACTTCTGCTGAGGGCTTCTCCTCTCACCTCTGATGAAGTTTCTCAGTGGCTGGGGCAATAAGCAGGTGGCAGAGAACAACTTAAGTTCTTGGACTCCACTGGGACCCTGCTTTTAATTTAGGAAGTCAAAAAATCCTTGGGAAGAGCTTCATGGTCACCGAGCAGACCAAATCCTTACTAATATTTTTCTTCTATCTAAATGCATGCAATGGCTATTTGCTAGCTGACAGTTACAATGCATACACTAAATTAATCAACCTACTGGGCTCTCCAAAGTAATAGAGAGATTGACCAAAAAGTAGAATAATTTTCATTCTGGAAGAGGTGGACAAATTCTTTCAGGCCACTAACTTCATACGTAAAATAAATCACAGCTTTGGGAACAGGAGAACGAAGGGCTTACTGGAATTCTGTGGCATATTCCTTTCCTTTACCATTAAGATTATTGATGATAATATATGTGAATGAGGATTGGGGCAAATTCCCAGTTCTGAAATTCTAATGGCATCACAGGAGGGTATGTATGCCTTCTCTGCACCCAGTACATATATATGTTGACTGTAAGCCTCACAAAAACTACCAAGGAAAGGACAATTATCCCACTTTTATAGACATGAGGTTGAGTGTCTTGAGTAAGATCACACAACTCCAAATGCATAACTGGGACCCAGATCCATACCTTTCCCTCTAAGCCATAATGCCTCCGTGAGCCAACCTAGTTTGATGTGTGTGTGTGTGTGTGTGTGTGTTATTTAGGTTGTCATTCCCCAAATCTTTCTGTTCTGGTATAACCTCAAGCATTAAGAGTTCCTAGAATGTTTAGTCATTATTATGCAAAAGAAATTAGCAGAAATCACATTTTAATGTAGAAAGCTACAAAGTTAATACTGCATACAAATATTTTGATGTAAAGGAATGGTGTATGGATTGAAATGAAGGAGCACCAGTGAGAGAGAAAAAGAATATAAAAGGAAGAATTACAGCCGCAAAGATAATCTCCCACTGAGGAGAGCACAAAGATGAACAGCATGGACCAGGATATTGACGTTTAGGACTGAATATGAACTTGGAAATATTTACATAAACATTAAGCCTGTGTGGTCTTTATTACGAGAGGGGTACATATGTATTAGGAAATCCGGACAGGAATGTCCACTTTGAACCCAGTTTTTAGATGGGTGTACTACGGAAAAATAAATGCACAGATGGGCCTCAGCTACCACACTTGGATGGCCTGTTGCTCGTTTGGTTCAATTTCAAGGATCATGGCTGGCCAGAGCTGGAGGAGATTTTGGAGATCAACTAGACCAGTTTCTTCATTTTCAGGTGACGAGAGACTGTGGCCCGAGGCAGTTCGGGACTCTTCTCAACACCAGAGTTCTCTCTGTTTCCCTGTCGCACCCGTGTGCTGCGCATGAGCATGAAATCACACGCGCACACAAACTACAGGAAGTTGTGGTCATAGACATATATGGAGAAGGAAAGGAGCCAAACAAAACTCTAAAAATACTCTGTTTTAAATATTTTTATTATAAAGCAAACAAAGAATTTGAGAGTCATAGAAGGTCTGGTATTCAACTCTTCAAAGAAATAATTCTAAATTTAGACATGAAATTCTATGACATGTTCTCGTTAAGAAAAATCATGTATTAGCTTCTTTGTGCCTCTGTGACTGAAGTTCTTCATGATTACTACAAAAAACAATTTTCTGGAAAAAATGTATTACTATAATTTTGGGGATAAGGAATAATTTATTTTACTGAACTCATTGTTACAACAAATTGTTCGTGCTTTAATGCTCTCGTTTTTTTACTTTCTGTTAACATCATTATTCATTTCTTTAATGTGTGTGGTAACTTCAAAATAATCCTATCTGCGGAAGAGCTAAAATAAATGCCTGCCCAAGGGTCCAGCTAATTTACACAGAGTCGATTTTATTTGGTCAACATGTTTTTTACTTGGTTAACTATGATTATCTAACGAGAAAACCCCTTAGCAAGAAACATGAGATGCAAATGATATTGTGATTTAAGAAAGAAAAAAAAAAAAGACCTTTCAAATGATTTCCTCCAATTGCATACAAGCGATCATTCATGACAGCCAAAGTGTGGATGGCGCGTTTTGTGTTCATATCTTGTTTTCGAGCCCAGACATCCATCACAGGGTCATAGCAATATAGCCAGGGGATATATTCTCCATTGTGTACACCCCCTGTGAATGAAACATATACATACCAGTCATGAAAGGGCATTGGCACTGAACTTTGTAACAGAAAGTAGAGGAATGACTTGCCTGAAATGTATATTTTCCCATTGTGCACTGCTCCTGCGTGAGCCGCCAGAGGCTGAGGCAAAGAGGACACATAACGCCATTCGTTTGTTTCTAGGTTATAGCACTCCACGCTGGACAAATAGCCGGTTTCGTTCCTTCCACCAATAACGTATAAATGCTTGTCCAACCGACATGCATAGAAACTGGCTCTTCTACAATGAAAACAACAACCCGCTGTAAATTGCAAAAGGAGCTCAGGCCAAGGAGGTACATCCTGCTTTAGAAAGGGTTGCAGGAACTTGGAAATCACACATACAGCTCCCTTCTAAATCTGAGACCTTTACAGTAATCATATGCATTTCAGCTCCTTTTATCTTGCTTTTTGATACACCATTAAAGTTGTTCACTAATGTTTGGGATATTTGGTACCTTGTAAGGGTATCACAGCTCAGTAAGACAAAGTGAAAAATGAGGTAGATAATGTAACAATAATAAATTATCTTGACATTCACTTTTTTCATGGTCCTTCAAGGGTCATTGTTCCCAATTTATAAGAGAACTACATCATCAAAATTTTTCTTCAATTATCATTTTTTTTCCCTTCTCAGTACTACTGCAAATAGAGTAACTTTTGTGAACTGAATTTAGTGTTGAAATTTTGCTCTTACATAACCTATTGTAGGAATTTTAGTGATATGGTTTTTGGTTTTGGTTGTTGCTTTTTACAAAGCTACGGGCTATTTTTTAGTCTCTTTTCCAGAGAGGCAATTTATTAAATTTTCCCATTATGCCTTCAAGGGCCAAAGACACCAGCTGTACTGAAAGGACCAATTCTGAGGTAAACCATAAGATAGGAGTGAGATATTGAGGACCTGAATTAGAGTTTTATGGAAGACTTACAAGGGCTGATGCCAAAGATATTTTAAAGGAAGATATAAGACTTGGGAACTAGTAAGACATGAGAGCTGAGGGAGAACACATGTTCAAAGGGGACTCAAAAATTTGGAGGATGACTAGGTTGATATGTTGAGAAAGTCCTTGACCCTTCGCTTCTTTTATCTCGTTGCTGCTACTGGAATAATATACTTTATGGGGATAACACACGGTCCAATACTGAGTAAGTACAGTGTTTAAGTGCCAAGCCCCTCAGAGAATATAATTTGTTTGATGACTGAATGGTCTTCATAAAAATTAGTGCCAAGACTCTTGGGCAATGTGAGTAGCAAGATCAAGAGTCCCTAGAGGTTTTTATCAGGAGATTTTCCAAGTTGTGTTTACAAAGTGCCAAAACCTCTGGGAAGCAGTATACAGCATCTTGATTAACAGTTTAGTCTCTGGAAGAGATTGCTGGCTACATGATTTATTGGATGTGTGACCTTTGACATGTGCCTCAACCCCTCTCGGCCTTGGATTGCTCATCTGTAACAGGGGGATGTTAATGGTACCTTCCTTACAGGGTTATTTGCAAATACATATGTAAAGTGCTATCATAGTGTCTAGCATTTTGTTCATGCTTTGGAACCATCATTACCCAGATAAAAAAGTTTTTAGGGGCGTCTGGGTGGCTCAGTCATTAAGCGTCTGCCTTCGGCTCAGGTCATGATCCCAGGGTCCTGGGATCAAGCCCCGCATCGGGCTCCCTGTTCAGCAGGAAGCCTGCTTCTCCCTCTCCCTCTGCTTGTGTTCCCTCTCTTGCTGTGTCTCTCTCTGTCAAATAAATAAATAAAATCTTTAAAAAAAAAGTTTTTTAAAAATCAGCCATTACCCAGATAAAAAAGTTTTTAAAAATCAGCCATCAAGATGTTTGCAAGGAAACTTTTCCTAGTAATATTGTAAAAGACAGTTAAATTCTTTGTTTGTTTAGGTAATTTATTACTATATCGGTAATGGTATAGATGGTGATGTATTCGGTTTGTTTTAATTTTTTCCAGCTTTATTGAGGGATAATTGACAAATAAAATTGTAATATATTTAAAGTTACACTGCAGTGATTTGATATATGCATACATTGTGGAAGGAGTCCCACAATCAAGTGAATTAACACATCCATCACCTCACATAGCTACCTTTTTTTTTTTTTTTGGTGAGAACACTTAAGATCTACTCTCTTAGCAAATTTTAAGTATACACTACAATATTAACTATAATCATCATGTTATACATTAGATACTTGGGACTTTTTCATCTTATAACTGAAAGTATGTACCTTTTGACCAAGCTCTCATTTCCCTCATCCCCTAGCCCCTAGCAACCACCATTCATTCTGCTTCTGTAATTTTGACTTTTTTTTTTTTTAGATTCCACATATAAGTTTGGAGAAAGGTATTTGGAAGAAGCTTTTAGTTGGATTATCAGAGCAATCATTAATTTAAAAATTTTGAGATTTCCTGTTACAGAGAAGTAAAAACCCATTTAAATATAATACTACTTATAATATAGGTTAAATATAATATTAGGTTATAAATATTAGGTTAAAAACAGTTGCAAAATTAAGTGCCCACAGATGTCCATTGCTTCCTTCTATTTCTCTAACCAGATTTCAGTTGTTCTCTTATTGAATATGATAGGGTCACGGTTGTCTTACAAGTGCTTTTATCTTCTCAGTTAAAATGTTTCATTGGAAAGAGACATGTCTACAAGAATAGACCAAAGGAACACAGATATTTCTTTGCAATGTGGACACAAGAGTAAGTCAGTATCCCTCTTCCATATGAGCATTCTATAACAAGTCTTAGAGCTTCTGAAATAATTTTACTAATGGGCCATCTTTAAATAATTTGGATTATGTGGGCTGTAAGGTGTTGCATTCTTGCATGCGCTATATACTGGTCTAGAAGAGAAAATGCTTGTTACTCATGACAAGTATGAAAACCCTCCATTAAATAAGTTTAGATAATGGAGAATAAGAGCAAGATCTCTTCATGGTAGTGTGAACTCCTTTCATCCTAGTCTAAATTTCAGTTTTCTCACTTTGTCTGTCCTGGTTCCTTCCTTCCTCAGTGACACTGAGTGAGCCTGTCAGAACTTGCTCTCTTTTTAGCCAAGATTTTCTTAATTTGGATGCTACATGTGTACTCCTAGCTTTATCCACACAGTGTCACTGTTAGGATCTAAATGGAAAAAAAAATCAGTAGGTTTCACTTCCTGACTAAAAGGGCATTTTTATGTAGAAATTCCAATAGTGAAGACTCTGAGCCTAGGACTTATCCCCTTGCATGCCCAAAGTGAGAATTCATGAAATGCATTATAGAAGCACTGGATAGTTAATGGTCTGTCAGCAATGTGAACCTTTGCTCCAGGCTAAAATTTTACCATACCAGGTCTCTCTTGGGAGTGCTCCCTGCCCACCCCCCACCTCATGAAGAACCACACAGGATTAGGCTCTCTGGGGCTTTTTTTGGAAAAGTAAATTCCAGATTACTGAAGATTTTTACATGGGATTACACTATTTGTATTTCCAATTATTCATCTCTCTCCTCAAGCCCCTCCTCCCCCAACGCCAGAGGCAATATTCAACGCATTGTGGTAAGTTAAAAGGAGACTACCAGCAACTTCTACAAACATACTTTGAACCCTGCATATTGTACAAGTCTTTACTAGTTCTGACCCTTAGGGTGGTCAGTTTATATACTAAAGCATGAGACTGAATTACTAGAACCTTAGCTCAATTCTTGACTTTCACCATCAGATTCAAATGGCAACAGATTTTTCAAATAGAATTTCACGTTGTTTCTTGTAAAGTTTCTAGAAACAAAATATTTAAATTTGGAAACAATTTTTTATGTATTTCCTTCTAGCTTTTCTCTTACTCTGTGAAATATAAACTTTGTTGTTAGTGCTCTCCAAACTGCTTTTTCTTTTTCATCTTTTTTTTTTTTCCTACACTAGCTAGGAGGTAAGATCTCCATATAAATAATACCCAAAATGTTTATTTTTACTGGAAAATAATGTAAAGTCATCAAAGCGTTTCTATTGATCCTAGTTTCAACTTTTAACCTCTTTTCACTGAAGAATCAAATCCTACATGAGACCAAAATAACTCAGTAGCATTACATTTAAATGTATATTTTCCTGCAATTATTTCACAGGTAGCAGGGATACAATTCGCGAGTTAGTTTTGAGTAAACCTAGAGGCAGTGTGCCCATTGCCCTGTTGGACTGGGTGGGAGGGGCATATTCTGCACTTTTATTATAGCACGCCTTAGGAAGCTCTGATTAGGTAAGATATCCTAGGAGTCTGTCCAGCCAGCTCTAAGAGTGGGTTACCCCAGAGGTGGTTTTCAACATGTTTCTATTATTCTCAGTTTGGTAATTTCTCAGCATAACCATTTCTCCTTGGTTTGTTAGCAACTAATGGAAGGAGGGAGGTGGGGCAAGTTCTGGTGAGCCTGATTCATGATCTATACAATGCAGAATTAACTCATTGAAATGTTTCAAGAGACTTCTTTTTGGATCTGAAGGGTGTCTCATATATTTTCTTCTTCTTTTTTTCTTCTTCGTTTAATCACCAATTAAGCCACGCCGGTCAATGATCACACTTGCTACTTAGAATGGAGGCTTGGCAATGACAGAAAAATTTCATTTTAAGTTATGGATTGCTGCCTGGATCAACCAGCGCATAGGAGATCTGGAGCTAGAAGATTGACTGGGCATTTGTGAGATCTGCCTTTTCCCGCTCAGCTCTGTAAGGAGCTCTTTATTTGGTCTACCGAGTTGATTGTTCTAAATCTAAAAAAAAACTTCTCTTACTAGGGACCTGACATGATATACCATAATGACTTAGAAAGAAACGTTAAACAGTCCATCCTGTCAACGGTGGCTGCCGGGCGCCGGCAGACCATGGCAGGTCTTTTTATCAGGTCAATGAGCTGCTAAAAATTGTCTAAGTAGGACCCCGCCATGATAGGCCATAGTGCCTCAGAGGAAGTCATTATAGAATATCAAGTAAACAATACACATTTAGAAAAATTACTAATTAGGTTTTGCAGCAATACTTCTCATCCTTAGGGGCTCTACAGTGAGATAATTGACCGCGACGTGAGTTATGCCTCCCAAACTGAAGGCGTGAAGGTTAATTATCATGGTGTGCAGCCCCCAGCAAAGGGGACCGTGGTGATGAGATGCTGCCATTTCAAACATATTGCTGATATTTGTTTAAAAAAAATATTTTTTTTAAAGTAAAACTTCTTGGAATGGTTTTGATTAAAGGGTAAAGTGATGCAGCCACTATAAGAGCAACCAAGAAGTAACCCCAAAGGGAGAGAAACAAGGCTCAATGGAGAAAGACATCAGGAGGCTACCGTGCATACAGGTATGTGCAAGACGGGGGGCGGAGAAGTGTGTCAGGATATTAGCTGACTTAGAATTATTCCTCGAGGTACCTTTGAACTACACATTCCTAAAAGTGTCTGTGGTCCTTATATTGTGCCCCATCATTTCCAATGTATAGTTTTTAGTCTCCCGAAAGGCGGTTTTAATATATTTATAGGGCACAGAGCGTTAGATACAGAGTTTTCTCCTAGCATTGCTACAGTAATGCACATTTTTGAATCAATGATATTACCTGAGAACTTCCTGTTCACTTGGAATTTATGATAAGGATCTAAGTTGATCTTAGTGTGATCTAACTGAATGTTTATAAAAGAGATGTTAAGGTGAAGAGTCATGAGGGAAACAGGAAAGAAAATTATTTCTTCAATAATTCAGTTGAGAAGAAGAAATAAGTTGCAGCTTATTGTTATTATATTGGATACTTCGCTTGAGAGGATGCTGAAGTATTATTTGAAAAGAATCGAGGGCTCAAAATTTATTTTTTTAAAAGATTTTATTTATTTATTTGACAGACAGAGCCAGAGAGCACAAGCAGAGGGGAATGGCAGAGGGAGAGGGAGAAGCAGGCGCCCTGCTTAGGGAGCCCAATGCGGGGCTCGATCCCAGGACCCTGGGATCATGACCTGAGCCAAAGGCAGGTGGCATGACTGAGCCACCCAGGCGCCCTGAGTGCTCAAAATTTAGCATGGGAATTTGCATGTGCATGTTAAGATGTGGCCTCCTGTAGGTAACAGCAGGAGAGGCAAAATCTGTATGAATGTAGTAACCACCTACCCCTTGGCAGCTGGGAGACAGGGGAGAGATAAACACCAAGTACATAAAAAACCGAGATGACAGCTTGCAAGACTTTTTTTTTTAAAGCTAACAAAGGACCTCTTCTTGAATGTATGATGGGAGGATAGTTGAGAGGGCAAGTGTCAAGGATTTGAGTTAGTGAGACTGGAAAATTTAATACTTGCAATTTCTGCATCAAAATGGATACCACTGTAAGAATGGTGTTTTATATTTATATATAGGATTTAAGTACATCACCACTGAGAAAAGTGGGAGGGGCGGTGAGATTTTAGCTCCACTTGCCAAAAAGCCAAAGCAATGTAGTAATGGAAGACAAATCATACAATTTTTTTCTTCCTCTGTTAGAACCAATAATTGACTTTTTGATTATTTTTCTCCATTGAGTTAACAAAGTAGTTATTCTAAATTAGTCAGGCCAAATTTTGCATTCTTTCATTGGCTCCGTTTAGCATAATTTATCACAGAAAACCATTCAGCATCCACGCTTCCTGCAAAGCAGCCACGAATGTTTCAGACGTACGAAATAAACACTTACCTTTCTTGCATGGGTGGAAGTTGTATCCAGCTATTAAATCGAGGATCATATCGGCTGACAAAATTTGTACTGTGTTTTCCTGTAAAAATATATTTGAGACATTTAAAACTTAGATTCCTTTGTTGTTTTGAACATTTAATAGTGTTTATAAGATGTCTCTGTTCTCAGGTGTAACACAGAGATGAATTAAGTTGGAGGGACTATCTAACACAGTCTGAGAAGCAGGAAGTCCGTGGAAAAATAAATGTGCCGCCTCAACTATTTTTCCTTTTTCCTTCTCTTATCCTCCATTTTCCTTTTCTTTCTTTCTTTTCTTTCTTCTTTCTTTCTTTCTTCCTTCCTTCCTTTCTTTCTTCTTTCTTTTCTTTCTTTCTCTCTCTCTCTCTCTCTTTCCTTTTTTTTTTTGGAAGGAGTCAGAATAAAACAAATCAACCACGAGAAGAAAAGCAAGTATGGTTTATCAAACCAGTTTTACCACAAAGTTAGGGGACAAATTTCTGGGTTTTGGTAATTTTTGTGTTTTAAAAACATGAAGTTATTGTCTGTAAATAATCAGTTCCAGAGACCACCTTGCGTGATATCTCTGGTGAGAGCCCTTTTTTTAATGATCCAAAAACCTAGCCGTGGTTGAGTCAGCTCTCTCCCCATGGAAATCACAGCAATCACTAGAGTAAGAGTTTGCCTTAGGAAATCAGGTTTAGCCTGTGCATGTCCCGTGAGTTCTGTGTGTGGATTCGGGGGAAGCACAGTTAAAGGCACATGTGCTCAAATGGGAAACAGGAGTCCTCAGAGCTGGTGAGCCCTTATCCCCTCTGTTGAGCCTCGGAAGCACAGCGGTGCCTCCGAGGCATTAAAATGAATTTTATTTGGGGCGCCTGAGTGGCTCAGTCGTTAAGCGTCTGCCTTCGGCTCAGGTCATGGTCCCGGGGTCCTGGGATCAAGCCCCGTATCGGGCTCTCTGCTCAGCGGGAAGCCTGCCTCTCCCTTTGCCTGCCGCTCCCCCTGCTTGTGTTCCCTCTCTCGCTGTCTCTCTGTCAAATAAATAATAAAAATTTTTTTTAAAAAAATGAATTTTATTTTTCATACCGACTGACACCAAAGCAAGAAATGGAAACAAAAGAGTGCCTTCATTTTCTGTGTAGTGCCTGAGATGACAGTCATCTAAAAGCACTTGAAGTTTTAACTCTGAAAGTCTGTTTTTGTTCATATATGTGTAACTAAACATTGAAATACAGGTACCAAACTCTGCCACAGGAATAGATAGATAAGGGTGTGTGTGTGTGTATGTGTGTGTGTGTGTGTATGTACATGCTCACACAGGCATGTATATCCAACACAATTATTAATTGCATAAATATATCGAGTATTTATTATATGTCTTACGTGTTCTAGGTTCTGAGAACATATTGGTAAGCAAGAAAGGAAAAGTCCCTGTTCTTGTGAATGAATAAAGAAATACATATTTTCAAGTAGAGAGGAATGCTATAAAGAAAAATAAAGCAGGGACTGAGAGCGGGGAGGCTAGTTTAAATAGAATTGTTCCCTGCCTACAGATGTGTCCTCTGCCAGCCATGCAAATATCTGCCGAATGAACCTCTCACATAGTGGGCCAGGTGAGTAGAAAGTCCCTGGGGTTGGCCATGAGTTTAAAACCAGCAAAATGCTGGGGTGACTTGAACAGAAGTCAGAGGCATAACGAGGTCCAAATCCGGTGAGCCTTGTGTACTGGTATACGATGGTGCCTTCTGTTACAAGAACAGTAGGAGGCCACTGGAAGGTTTTGAGCAAATGAGGAACATGGCCTAATTTCTCTCTTACAGAGGTCACTCTGGCTGTTGTGTGAAGAACAGACTATAGAGGGGCCACTCTGGGAGCAGGGGAGCTGTCAGGAAGCCATTGTAACAGTCAAGGCAAGAGCTGATGGTGGTTTGAATGAAGGTGGAGACATTCAGATACGGCCAAGTTTGGGATCTATTGTCCGGGCATAGCCGATAACATTTTCAGATAGATTCAATGTTGGTATGAGAAAAAGTAAGTAATTAAGGATGGCTGCCAGATTTTTAGCCTGAGTAACTAGATGGAAGGTCATGAAATTTGCTGAAGTAGGGAAGACCAGGCAAGAGCAGTGTGGGGATTGGTAAGAGAAACCACTAGTTCTGTTTTGGACTTAACCTTGAGAGGACTACAGGATCTCAAAGTGGAAGTATGTGGTAGGCCACTGGCTAACTGAGGCTGCAGAAGCAAACTTTAGAGTCATTGGTCTAGAGATATTATTTAAAATCATAGAACAAAATGAAACCCTTTAGGCAGAAGGTATGGACATGAAAGATAATGGGTGCTGGGATTGAGCCCTAGAATACAAAAAGAAAAACCAGCAAAGGAAAGGAATTGTCAGAGAGAGGAGGAAAAGTACGATATTTTGGAAACCATGTCAAAGAGTTCTTCAAAAAGACAAGTGAACAACTGAAAACTGACTGTAGGATTTGGCAACATGGAGGCTGGTGGTGGCCTTGATAAGTGTTGATTCAGTAGACACATAGGGACTCCTCAAGACAGACTAAGATCTAAGAGAACAGATGCAAGAGGAAGGCAATGCTTCTTAGGACTTTTGTCACAAAAAGGAAAAGATGATAGCTGGAGGATGCAGCATTAAGAGAAGGTTTTGCTTGGTAGTTTGGTTGTGTTTTTAAGTCCAGAAGTACCGGAAAGTCCTTGCACAGGCAAGTGAGAATGAGAAATAGGCCTTAGATTGGAGCAGAAATAGGAAGGAAGAGAAAATAATAGGAGGGAAGAGAAAATACATGGGTAGCAATGGAGATAAGTGGCACTAGACTCGGTTGTGGCAAGATGAAGATTTTATCTTCTGATTGCTTCTATTCTCAACAAACTACGAAGCAAGGCCATCAGCTGAGAGCGAGGAGGGAGGTTTTGGAGAAAGAGGCATTTGAAGAGAGAGAAAGCATGAGATAGCTAACTTGGAGGGTGGGAGAGTACACTGCCCAGGGAAATTTAGTGGGGTTGGCTAGTAGCCAGTATTCTCCATCCACATTTAGTCACTCAGGTACAGGGAGGAGGAGGAAGAGTGTTGGGCTTAACCAGGGCCAGAGCTTTACCAGGCAGGCACAATGGAAGGAAAGATGGACGCAAGGGCTGCAGGTAAATGCACTAATGTGATTACAGGGATGGGCAACATAAGGCCAGTGAGGAGGGCAGTAAGGATATCAGTGAAAAAGTATTAGGGGAGAGTGAAGAAGGTGGCATGTCCGGGATGAGTAGAGAGCTGCCACATAAAGGGGCAACAGGTGGTAAAACCTGACGACATCCTTTAAAGTGGTGGGTTTTAAGGTTGTGGGAGGGACAACAAAGAGGTAATAGGAATCTACCTGCCTCCAATAATGTGAAGTTCTGGGTCAGGTTGGGGAGCAGAACCCAGTGCCCATTAGAGAGGCTGGCTGGGAAAACAGTACTCTCATAAGATTGCCAAGTTTTGACTAGAAGAGAATGGAGGTGACCATTCAGAAGAGAGTTTAAGGATTCTGGGGGTTTTGTGGATGTGATATCATTGAGTTCCAAGGACCTTGTGGAAGGGTCTGGATGGTGTGATTGGGTGGTAAGTTAAATTTTATTTGGGGGTATACAGTAAGAGTTAAGAGTTCCAAGAGTGAGAATGACTCAAAAGACTTGGATTCCACAAAGGGAGGCTCCAACTCAAGGAAGGATTACATCTAGAGTTGGTTTATAAGGGAGGTTTTGTAGAATTTGCAATCATTTCACTCTAGAAAAAAAAATATTCTTGATGGGTTCCAAGGTTAATTCCCCAAAGCACCTGAAGATGAATGTTGTTAATAGGAATGTAGAGCATACTTGCCATATATAAGAATGTTTCTCTATGAAGTTTGGTTTAGAATTTTCATTTGGAGGAAGACATCTGCCTCCTTTCAGGAATGGGGCAGAGTGCCTCCTGGTAGAAATGAGCTATGTTTGCTTTGGTTGTATTGGTAGCGGCCTTCACTCATAGAAAAGGCTAAGCAGGGACCGGTGTGATACTGACAGAAGATGAAGAAAGACTTTCCAGGGGCAGGGTCAATGGTGTGAAAGAGCGGTGAGGACCGAGGACTGGGGAGAGAAAAAGAAGGAGGGCATTCTGGAGTTAGCAAAGGATGTGTGGAGGGGATAATGAACCTCAGAAGAAATGAGTGTGGTGGCAAGAGGAAGATGAGCTAAAAAGGAGTTATTTGTTCCTTCCTTGTGGCTTCTTTTGGGACTTTACCAGCAGCTTGAGAGTGGTGGCCATATGCAATGGGATTTTGGATTACCCCACTCCTTTAGTTTCTTCTCATCTTTTCCATTTTTTCCTAACTCTTCCCCAATTTCTTCTCTTTGTGTGACGATGTCCTATCACCTGACACCATTGTTGACTATCCCTTAAGTGATAGGTAAATGGAGCATGGGGTGGCAGTTTTCAGCCAGTGGTGAAAGGGAAGAATGGGGAAGGGAAGGAAGTCTCCTCCAGGCAGTGTTTTTGGGAGTCAATCATCAGGAAGGACAAATGTAAATCGGTTTTCTGTAAGCTGGGGCACTGATAGAATATATGCATATGTATTAGAATATTATAATGCATTCCAATCACTAATGACATGAAGGGAGTTAATAGGATTTAATATCTATAGCTGACAAGAAAAGCAATGTATGTGTCCTGTTTAAATTTCCAGTAAGTAATATGTTTTATGATTTCAAATTTTGGTCTTGTAATCAAGATAATAGATAAATGAAATTATATTTGTATTTTATGAGTACATACATGTTTTATGAGCATGTATTAAAATTTACAATTTTGTATTTCATTCAAAGACATGCATCTCAGGCATCATTTTCAGAAGAACTGAAGTTTAACTTAAGATTTCGTCTTTGGAACTGACATATCCAAAGCATTTGAATTCATGGATTTTTAATTTTTCCTCCCTGGTAGCAATGAAATTAAAGTTATACATTATGATAGGATTGCTATTCTTTATAAGTTTTGGTATTAACTGCTTACTTTTTAATTGCATAATTGTATTATAATATGAAAATCCCATATTTTTGAGATGATTGAGTGAGTCCCTGCATGGTTTTCTAAATGAGAAGTGATGAAGAGTTCCTTGGGAATAAGAGCCACTTTCCACTGTGATACAATACTGACTTAATTTCACAAGATCAAAGGCAAAAACATGATTGTTATTTAGTATCTAACAAAATACATATGTCTGTGTGAGGGGGAAACGTTATACAATGGTTCAACACCAAGGCAGACAGACCTAGGTTGGAATCAGCCCATCTTTGTGCAAGCTGCGTGTCCTGGCAAGTTCTTTCACCTCTTCGGGCTTGGACTCCTCATAGTAAAACTAGAACAATCATGCAACAGGCCTCCCAGGATGGTTGTGAGGATTAAGTAAAATTATGCAGGTGAGTGCTTAGCGAATTCCTGGGAAATAATTAGTACTCAATAAATACTACTGTTCATGGTTAAAAAAAAGGTGTGTGTGTGTGTGTGTGTGTGTGTGTGTGTGTGTGTGTGAGGTATGGTTGACCAGATGGTTGGAATATGAAGCTACATGGAAAATGTCTAAAGGATTGTGGTAGAGGTGTGTTTGGTACCTAGCCCAGATACCTTTACCAGACTGGTGCTGTGCTCCCCAGGTTGCTCACTGTCATAGCCGCTCCCTCTCTGGGGAACTGCTCTCAGCTGTACAGGTCATATCCCTGCCCACCCTCCCCCTGACCTGGGGGAAGGCCTCAGCCAATGACTGAGTGATTGACCCAGGCGTACAGAAGACTGGCCGGCCTGCCTCCTGATGGGACCAATTCTCCTCTGCTTAGGAGAACCGAATCAGTGGCTTATCAGCATTTGCCCACATCTATTCAAATGGTTTCACGTGCCAAACACGTCAGGGACAGAATGACTCAGCTTTGCGGGTAGGAATCCCACAGCTCTAAAAGGGGATCCAACAGAAAAAGAGTTAGCTGCCAGGGCCAAATTGAGAGTAAACGTAAAATTAAAGTTTTACTACAATTCAATTCTGAGCCTCCTGGTGGCTCAAGCAAAAGAAGAGAGACACGTTAAATCACACAAATGTATCAGTGGCAGTTGTCCAAAGCACACAATGCCTCAGTGCTACGGTCTGGCAAGAATTTGTCACATAGCTCTTCACATGGGGCATGCTGAGTAGTGACAGCGACAGGTGTCTCTGCAGTAAATGCAACACTGTTTTCTATAGTCTTTTGTTGCGGCATATTCATTGAGGGCTTTCAACTGAATTCCTGTTCCTGTGAGGGGTGGGGGAAGGCAAATCGGTGCGGTCCAATGGCACAGTTTTTTGGGAGTCTGAATTAGTTCGGAGATAAAACCTTGACTCTCTAGACCAGACAAAGGAATACGCCCATTATGCTCTTCCCTAGCCACCCTCCCCCACCCAATCTCTCAGCTGTGCTTGATAAGACGACGGGGAACAGTAAGCAGATGTAGGTTATTTTGAGGGGGCATAACCCTGGGAGCAGGTTTTCTGTGTCGCTGAAAAGGTCTGTCTCAGAGGCATGGGAAGTTCATGGTGTTTTGTGAACACCAAGTGGTGTCGCCCCAAGACTGGCATTTTAACAGAGGCCTGCTCCACCTGGGACGGGAGGCGGGCTAAGAGTATGGTCCCCAGAAACAGGACTTTGCAGCCTTCTCTTGTCACGTGTGAGTTCTAATCTGGCCTTCGAAAAGACTGCTCGGCAGAATTTTTGCTTAGATAAACCTGATGGCTGTGCCCTGTTCACTTACAAAGGCTCTATTCAGTTCAGATCACTTTGGAGGGAGAACAGGTTAAGCAGTAAATGGGGAGCTTACAGTGGATTGTACATCTGCCAGCATTTTTTGGGGACACATCAAGTCTGTCACTGCAAAGGTAAGTTAGAGGAGACATATTAACTATCCCTTTTGTTCCTGTTCTAAACCTGTTTCTCACAAAGCTCAGGAACTGTCCGCTCTGGAACGCTCAAGGATTGGAACCAACAAAGCTGCAGGTTTTGAGAAAGAACGTCCTGCTCTCCTCAAAGAAGTGTTCTTGGAGGTTGGCCTGGGTTGTTTTCCTGGAAGATTTTTCTAGAGTGAACAGATGTAACAATTTTCTATAATTTGCCTTGGTGCAGATGCTGAAAGAGAGCATTCACAATAAAATATATGCAGTATATGTAATTTTGCTTGGATGTTCTGGGGTTTTAGAGTAAAAATGTGTACCTGCAAGCTGTTTTATGGTTTCTTGGTCGTAATGATCTCTGTTACCCAGAAGGCTACAACCGCAACTCCTCCTTCATGTGCAAGCACTCCAAAAATATCTTGATAGTTTTGCGTATTCTGCAAGGCACAGTGTTCTCCCCGTGTTGGCTTGGGAAGTGCGTTAAAATGTTCAATTTCCCTTTGCGGTAAATTTCTGAAGTGATCACATCAACAGGGAAGGTGGTGGATAGTCTTCGAAAGGAGCCCTTGCAAAAGGTGCAGCCACCCGAGTGGGTCTCAACAAAAGCTGCAAAGGAACTTCAACTGGGGATATGAGTTGTGATGGCAGATGAAGCTTATTTATGGAAACTGCCTTATTGTACTGATAAAATGGGAGAGAAGTGGTGGGGAAGGTGGTGAGGATTCTTAATAGCTGCAGCTTGCTACCTGCCTCTAGGGAGTCTGTGCTTATGCTCGTGGCATTCCTCAGGGGATGGATAAGGAGAGGGGCTGGGGCATCACTGCGAAGCCAAATCCCCAGACAGTCAATGAGCGAATGCTCTGCTGCGTGCGTCCTCTGCCGGCTCAATGGTTGACCCTCCCTCCAATTGTCAGCCCAATTTACCGACTGTTTCATTTGTCCCTGTGCACAGACATACATTTTCCACAGTGATTACGAAACGGGCTGCTACTGGCGGCGCCTTCCACAACACACATACTTGTTGAGTTCAATAGTTACCATTGGGGTTCCACTGGTCCTCTCCACCCAGCACAAACAAGAAGTTTTCTACCTCCACAACGCAGTGGTGGGCACTGTTGTACGGCATAACTGGAATCGAGGGGGGAAGAAAAAGATGCGTGAAATTCTTCATCTTAGGACTTGATACCTTGGCTCCCTGGTTGTTTGCTTCCACCAAAGGGCATAACATGTGAGAGTAAGTCGGAAGGAAGAAGAGAGCATAAGCAGCAGAGCGGGGCACCCACCCATCCACAGTGGCTCAGCCGTGTGTTCCCAGCAATCTCAAACCCAACCCCTTTTGACTAATTTTACATAATATTATTCCGCAAACTAGTCAAGGACAACCTGTCACGCTGCTTTCGATTCTTAAGTTCTCCTCACCGGCCTGATGGTGGGGATCGCATTCTAAAGCAATGATGGATCCTCCCAAATGGTCAGGGCTGGGGGTTACTGCCTGGAAGAAATAACCCTGCAGGCACTTGGAGCCATGAAGATGCTCTGCCCAAACCTGGTTTGCTGGCAATCTTTCCATAAACAGACTCGGGGTGCTTGGGAGCTTTCTATTCCACGGCAATGAGCAAGCTGAATTTCCATACAGTTTTAAGTTTTTAAATTAAGGTCCTGCTGATTTAATGCCTTCTCCAAATGTCTACGCTTAATCTCCTGCACAATGTCAATAGAAGCACACTCACACGTTTCCTACCTACCTGCTTAGGAGCTCTTCTGGAACAAAGATAAAAACCGTCAGGAACATCACAAACATCCATTCCCTCGGTCTCGCCCTTCCCACCCCGCCCCCTCCCGGCCCCAGTGTGGTGGCTGCGAGGAGGGCGTGTTCTTTAGAAACCCCCCAAAGCCAGGTTTCTCTGTGTTTGTCTGTTCTCAGTTACATTTTCTTTCGGGGACACGCACAGTGTGAGACTAGGACAGCCCCGTCACCCCATGTGCCGTGCAGTGCTGGTCTCTGCTATTATCATATCATATGGCAAATGTAAACTCACACAGAATTAGTTATCGTATCACATGCGGTGGTTTGGACCCAGTGACACCAGTAGGAAAAATGATGTCCTTGTTCAGCTCATCATATGGGCACCTTAAATCTAGGTGAGGACAAATGGGGAGGTGATGTGCATGTTCAGGCAGGGAACTTATTGCTTGACACGGATCAACAGAGCACTTAAGAAACCAGTGCAGTGGGAAATCAATATGAGTCAGGGCCAGCTCTTTGTGCTCTTTTGCCAATGCCGGAAGAGAGAGAGCCTATCTTATGGCCAACTCATTTTGGATGATATATATCTCTCATTTCATTTTGTTTTTCCTATCTTTTATTTTTCTCAGAATGCACTTATGCTGGCTAAGATATGTAAATACAATGAATAGCTTTGAAGTCTCTAACATAGCTTCTGAAAGAGCAAATCAGATCATTTAAGCTTCTTACTAAAGGATTTTAGGAGTTTGGGTTATTTTATTAGTTATTTATTTTTTACTATGAATATTCATTGTTTTTGAACTTATATCTATAATGTCAGAAGGCCTTGGTACAGAAATCCCTGATTTCTGTGATAATGTGGAAATTGGATGTGGATTTGTGCGGTCCGTGGATTTGTGTGTGGTCCGTTAATTAGGTCACTGACTTAGGGAATCATCCTGGGGATGTCCTTTTGCCCCTTAACCCTCAGTTATCTCTTTGGAAAATGCTTTTAACCATACGGCTCTGCAGAGATACCATATAGCTTCTCAGAATCCAGTGGGGCAGAATATATGTTGAGTTCGCCGACCAACTAAGATGGAATAGGTTTTGAACATTAAAAAAAATATATCATTGTTTAGATTATGATGCTAGTTCCAAAATAGCAAACGGAAAACTATGCTACTCATACGTGATGTATATTGTGTATATTGTGAGCAGTCTGGTGCTACCCCAGTTCATCATCATGTCATCTGGGCAGTGTAAGCTCACAGTGTTGATTATCATCTGCATGCATCTATTCACATGGGATGTGGGCACAGGAATAGAGGCTGTAACCAACTTACGTTATGACTTCCACTCTTCGGATATTTAAATTTTTTGTCAGCTCAGTGCCCAAACGTTATAGGTAATGAAAACCTGTATTAGCATCTTTTTAACTAGGGGTCCAGTTTGATCATAAAGCGCAGTCTCTGAAAATACAACAACACTTGCGTTTTGTTCTTGCCATTTATTTGCTCCCATTCAGGCAAGCAGAAATTAAGTGAAGGAAATAATACATGATTTATTCTTAAGCCTCTTTTTCATTTGATTACCCCTATTGTTATGCTTTATGCAAACAAATGAAACTATTGCCCTAAACTATCCAAACCTTCAAAATAAGAGAGAAGCTCTTTGAAGTCCTAATATAAAGGCTACTTGAAGGCATTCCTATTTTTTACTCTTGTTTTTAAACCTTCTGTGCTATATTTCTTGGCTGAGTATTCTAGTATTCTCATTCCTGAATTACTGTCTTTTCTAAATTATTACCATGAATCGAGAGGCTATAAATACACACAAATAACTCTTTGAAATTATTCTGAATGTGAAACGTTCCAAATTTATTAGAAAAAATCTATATTAAATCAATGTTCGAGTTTTGCAAAAGACCTAATTTGACTTCTGATTAAACCTGAAGCAAAGCAAAATAAATAGGGCAGTGAGCGAGAGCTCACATCTGTCTAAATTGGCACTGGGTACTGCACGTATCGATTACCTTTTAAATAACAAGGGATACATGCCTGACCCTTTCCAGCATTCTTGAGAGGTGGACGCCAGCCTTGCCCTCACAGGCAGGTATTGGAGGAGAAGTTTGTACTCGTGTTCATATATAGCCCAGTGCGAGTTTTAAGCGTGTCAGTCAGTGAGTTAGAGGGAAAGGGTAAAGAGAAGCTAATCAGGATGAAATGAGATTAAAGGCTGTCTAATTTTACAGCAACTGTGATCCATCAGCCACTGTGAAAGTGACAGTGGAAATGAATGATGGAGACAGACAGGTGGGGCTGTACATTTCACTGATTTATCCTCAAATGCACTGGGCCTTATTTTATTGAGTGAACATGACCGCATTTATCATGACTGTCATCTAAACCCACTTCCCTCCATTTAAAAAGGTCACTTTACTCAGAGGGAGTAGGAAAGAGGCACTTTCAAATCAGATTTAAAATCTCATAACACGTGTTTATAAGGCCCTTTGTAAGAATTCTAAACTTTACTAAACAAACTAGAAGTGCCAGAAGGAAAGGCTGGGGTGGGGGGCAGGGAAGCCAGAAAACTGAAAAAGAAGAAACCTTTGGTCACCTAAGGGAACACATTCACTTAGTCTCTGAATCAGAAGCAATTTGTACCATGTTTCCCTTTCCCGCCCCAAACACCTGATATTCTATTCTAGTCTAGGACGTTAAATAAGACATTTACATTTAGTATTTTTAATTAAGAAAGTGGGAAGCAAGTAACACTATAAAATAAACTTGGACATGATATTAAGTCACAGTATTTACTCTGCAGAATGACTCATCATCACACACTCAAGAGATGTTAGCAATTGTTATAAGCGGCCCAATTTACTTATATACCTGTTAATTGTTTTCTCCTAAGTTTAAGGCCACACAAAAAAATCTCAGTTACACAAAGTCTTTTACCCCCTCCCTGTACCAGCACAGTAAAGTGTCCTAAAGTGTTACATACAAAATTGGACTTCGTGGATATGACAAAGGAGAGTCAAACCTTCAGAGTGTCTCATGTTCCTTTTCATACTACTAACCACCATTACCAAACATTTACCACTGTTCGGGTGCTATAGATAGAGAAAGTAAATACGTAATTATATCCGTGTATAGTTTTCTATATTGTATCTCCGAAAATATAACAACACTTGTGTTTTATTCTTGCCATTCATTTGCTTCCATTCAGGCAAGCAGAAATTAGTAAATGAAATCATATCTGATATTATAATACATGATAAAATGCAATACGTGATAAAATGTACCAATGTTTTATTTACCTATATCTTTCATTTAATACAACGAACTTCAAGGGAAGCATTACTCATTTGTTTTATCTCGATAAGGCACACTGAGGCCTTGAGAGGTTAAGTCACTTGTTGAAGGTCATACTCAGCTAATGAACGGCCGAGAAAGAACCCGAACACAGGGAAAACTGGATCCCATCCCACAGTCTTGTCCATTTCACTCTACTGATTTTCAATAGGTATGCTCATCCAACCAGCAAGTAATTACTGAGTACCTGTGTGTTCAATGATGGTGCTCCTGAAATTTCTGTGTAATTTTTTGTATTGAATCATATTTTAAAAGTGTATTATTTTCATATTGAAAGGAATCTTTAATTAGAGCAAGTGGACACTCCTCTATTTTTTTTTTTTAATAACTCCAGGTATTCAAATAGTTAGTTTTCTTAAAGTAAGCTATGGTTGTTTGACGAAGCCAGTGTTCAGAAAAGCACTGAATAATCAGCCAGTTAAGGATGGGTAGAGTCTATTGGTGGAGAGTTTTTATTTTTTTAAAAAACCACTGAGGTCATATTTCGACCTTGTAAGCAGATTCAAAGCATCTTGGGTGTGGAGGCGCCTTTCCTGATATATGAAACGTGCAGGGGGCTTGTTGTATTTATGTAAGGTCTTATCCTGTTAGAGATCCACATTACCCTGTTTCCTCCCATATATGCCTAAGGAATATATATCTCTTCCAGCAGAAAGTATAGGTATCTTTCCTAACCACACATTTTCATGAACATCCAAAGAAGAGATTGAATAGGGCTATGGTAAGTTTATAGGATTGCTAAATAAATGGTTGTTGAATGTTACCATTTTGCCGTAATGCTTATGAGGGCCTTGATTTTCTATTGGCTTCAAACACATAAGCTTGCAAAACTGTCAAATATGAGATAATTCTTAATTTTTTTTAAAAAATTAATGCCCATGGTAAAAATGAAATCGTATTAAAAGTAAGGATATGCAGGACCAGTAAGTTTTCCTTCTATCCCTGCGCCTCAGCTTTTTAGTTCCTATCGTAGAGGCTGTCACTGTTAGTATGTTCTTGGATTTCCCTTTCAGAGAGTTTATATA